CCTGATTCGCTTATCATTAGTCGCCATCATTTTCTGAGCCATATTGTTGAGCGTGATTATCTCTAAGTGTTCTGAGTGTTTCTTTAGTGAGAACGCATTACGCAAAACGCTGCCGAAGTACAAGGTCCCTTTGGCCTTGCACACTCCGTGATAGAAACCCTGATCCTCCAGAGTGGCTCAGAGTTTCTTTTTATGAATGCTGCCGTTGTACTACTCCGCCTGAGCGGAGCTCTGCTTCTCCGTGCCTTCGTCGTCTCGTAGTCTTGCTTCACGCTACTTCCGTTTTCACGCTATCATCGCCGTTATAGTCAACGAATGTTTGGATTATTGGTGATCAGTATCCAAAAAACGAAGGCGATATGTTGCGTATTTTGTGATCCAAGATTGTTTCTTCAGACAGCTATTTTCGCCTTTCCGGCTCACCCGACGGTAAACGGGCGGTCCTTAGAAACTGGGAATGCTTCTGCAATTTTGGCATTCAGAAAAATTGATAACTTGGCAATGAGGTTTTCCTATTGCTGGATAAGATGTCATAGTAAGTAGATTGGCCAGAAGATTTTGCGGCATTCTTAACACGATAGCCAATTTTGCAAGTGGGCACTTCTATCATACTGCTAAGCACAATTGAATGCGACCCTTACCTCAGTTGTAAAGGCGTTGAGCAGGAGAAGCGCACAAAGGAAGTAGAAGAACATGTCGAATTCCTCGATGCCAGCTTCTGTGATTCGGTCCTATTTATATTGCTTTGACCGGGTACTGTGATCCCCGTTGCAGGTGTGTCGTCCAAAGCATGTCAAGAGAGCGCTCCACAAACATCCCTAAAAGTGACATTTTTTGTATCTTTCCGAGAAGCGTCACAACGTAAGCTAAAACGTCAAAATTATAATATTATGTTAGGATTCAGCTCTTGAACTTCTATGCAATTGTGTATCTGTGATCTTTCAGTATCAGCCCGCAAGAACGAGCATCGCGACGTAAAAGGAACACGAGAGCGAAATTTTCCACAAAGCTTGCTGCTAAGGCGCCATACTTTCTTGCTCCATATGGGCATTAGAAACCCACTGTTGTAGACGTTGCAGTTGTCGACCGAAGAACACCAGAAGACGAGAAGATTTACTGGTGAACAAAACTTTGTAACATAAAAACTTCTGAGTACCGACATGACATGGTTACGTACTACACACGGGTTTGCACATAAGATAACACATCTATTGACCATACAATAATGCTCCTAATTTTCGAAACATCTACGCGTTGCGACAGGTTTTGTAACGTCGCAAGCCGTCGCACGTCATAATTCGAAAGCGGGTAAAATGAAAGGATCTTACAGCGAAGGACTCTCTCTGTAGCGAGTCTAAGCATGTGCAGAACTTCTGATTTGGTTAAAGTTGTAATAAGTTAATCCCTATAATCCCTCCTTCGACAGTCTCGTTTCCTCGCCTCTCCTGATTTCCACTGTCTCTCCAATCGAAGACCAGCTCACAGTAGAGAAGGACAGTTGGAATTACAAAAATTCTTGAGAAATAACAAATTTAGATTAATTAACGAGGAAAATTCATGATGAGCACGAGTTTTTACACTTTCCGAAGCCATAACTTGCTTCATTTTCGTCAAATCTGAAAAGTTAATATGGCATACAAAACTAGAAGATTTTCTCTATCAAACGGTTGCTAAAGCAGCTTCATACGTCCAGTATTAAAAAATGGCCACGTTGAGGATTTTTGCCCGAGTACCGCCGAAAGGTACTTTTTCGCATTGGCACTATTTCAACGACTATAGTTCCAGGAATATTATACATACTCGAAGTAGTAGTTCCAGGGGCGATTAGGAGAGATAGATAGATAAAAGTAAGAGCAGATTCGAAATCCTTGTGCATATCTCTCTTCAAGAAGTGTAAAATGTTCAGCGTGTCTCAACTTAAAGGTTACATGCTTATGAATTTGACGCTGAAGACTGCGTTTCTTGTTGAATGGTGTACTCCTCCTGTAATTTCACATGAACCCTTTCAGAATCCTCTTGATTTTTCCTGAATTGAGATTCTTTCTCCAGAGAGCCGTAGTTGAAGCGCGCGCAACCAACTGGGCCCACTCTGGGATGCGCCGTGTGCTTCACATCCCTTCAGATTCGAGGACTCACTTGAAAGATAAAATATCCCTTGGAAAACGTGCGAATTTCGGATTCTTTAACTTGTGTGGTGATAAAACACTGAAGTAACTAAGAATTGCTAAGCGGACACCTCTGAATCACGAAGATTTTGTGTGGGCGGAATCAATTGTTATTGGAAATCCTCTGGCCTGGCATCGACTCGATCCTTGATGTTTGTCCTCCGACGGTGATGATCCTACTGCATCAATCGGCCCGATCTCTTCCCCAGCGGGCCAATACGACCCCCCCCTGTGACATGTCGAGGATTCCTCAACGCACGCTTGACCCTGGAGTATCACAGGCCCTGTCTTCAAGATCGTCGACGATTTCTTTTGATCTGGTTTTTATTTCAAGTCAGTTCCTCAACTCTGAGGTCATCGAATTTATCGCCCAACCAGCTTGATCCTGGGGATTGCTTCAAAATTTAGCAAGTTCATGAAGAAGAAAAAAATTATTGGAGGCACCACAATTAGGCGCTTCTTGAGGTGTACAGGACGAGAAAACAGATGGTCAATCATGGCCTTAAGGGTGAAACTGCAAACAGCATTTCAAATTGAGAAAATCTAGTCTATATTTGCTCATGGGATTGTCCCGAAGCACTATCCATCGGTCGGAATTTTGCAAGAGCGTTAGCGTGTATTATGTGGAAGATGCAGAACATGTTATAGATTTGACGGCGTTAGTGGCCGCACTGTTTTCGAGGTGGTCAACAGAGTTTTTAATTTGTCTGGAAGCTTCTGTTACTGTTATAGTTTTTGTATCGATGGAATCTAAGATGTGTTGTTCCAGGTACAATGCCTGGCCTGGAGTGGCTGGGTCTTACGGAGCAGAAAGTGAAAGAAACAGTTAAAAACGTCGCTTTGTCGAAGCAGTTAACTGCCATCATCTCGGCCGCTGAGGAAGCGTTGAAGACTGCGGGTAAATCGTTGGAGCTGGAAAAGCAGCAGGTATCTAGCAGTGTGTTTTGTGTTTTTTTTTCACTATACTATCCGAAAAGCTGTTTCGACATTCAGTGTCTTGGAGTTTAAAGGCAGCGATTACGATAGATCTCAAAGGGGTTTAGAGGGGACGTGAGGGTCTCAATAGTACGCCAATGGCGAAAAAAGCAAAGAAATCCGTCAAAAATAAGCAAAATAGTACCCCTTTGATTGCCCTTTCATTTTCGACCATGGATGAGCGACGGTAAAGAATGACGTTGTTCGGACGTGTTAACCCCGATAGCCGCCATCATGCCAACAAGCATAGAGTTTTAATGGCGCTCATCCGGTAAGGGGGGGGGGCATTGTGATGCAACGTCAAGTGGCTGCCCTCACCCCCACCCCCCTGAACTGGCTTCACTCCCCCTGGCTCACGGGGTCCCGTACTTCGAGAAACCTGTGCGCCAGGGGGAGTGTAGGCAGTCTAGGGGGGTGGGGTGGGGGTGAGGGCAGCCACTTGATGCCCCCCTTACTGGATGAGCGCCTGGTGGGATATCAGCATATTCAGTCGAAAACACTAGATACGTACTGATTAAGAGAGATGTTGGAGATTAGAAGAATGGGCGCGTTCAGGCGAAGCGACCATATACTCGATATCCGAAAGTTGGGGTAGGCGTGTCACCGGAAGTGACGTGCACTTGATAGAAGCTATGTGGATAAGCTGCTTCCAACATACATCGCTGGATATCAGCAAAGCATGCTGGCAACAGCTTATCCACGCAACTTCTATCAAGTGCACGTCACTTCCGGTGACACGCCTACCCCAACTTTCGGATATCGACTGTAAATCAAATCGGTGCAATCTTCTAATTTACTATTAGCCTTCCCCATCACACCAATACAACAAAGGGAAAACTACAGAAAGCTGTCTACGGCAATAACTAAAACGAGAAAACAACCTCTTTTCCTTTTCTCAGTTCCTTCAGCTGTGCTGTGCCATCTTTGATCTTCGCCTCCAAGTCGCGAACCGACTCCTCGAGATCTTTTAGCTTGCGCTTTCTCTAAAAAACACAGGCAGTTTATGGAATTTCTACGGCTGTTGAGTGGGCGTTCAACTTGTTTTTACCCGGAGCTTACAGTTTGTAACGCTTTCGACGGAAATGCCCAGTAGCAGACAAAAGTGCCTATTTTCTCGCATTCCACGAGACCATCATCGACCAACGATTGAGTGACTTCCTTCACCGACTGAGCTATTACACCTTTTTGTTTCGGTGCGATCTACAAGAAAATGCTCTGCGGATTCCGAATGACCTTACATAAGAAAACCAATTATAGTTGGAATTGTGTAGAACAACGAACCTTCTCCAGCTCCTTCATTTGGAAGAATTCCTGGCTCTCGTAAAATAGCTCTAGCATTTTCGCACGCTTCTCTTCTAGAGAAAGCCCCTTCTTTCGAGATGCCTGAAATCAAAACAAATTGAATAAGCCATTCAAATGGCAGAATAAAACTTGGAAATATTGCTAACCATGTTTGAGGTTTTTTCCTAATTTTTCGAAGAGAAATTGTAGCTCGGGAGTAACGCGGAAGCAGCGCTCTGTAATTTACGTCACTGCCGAAATTGAACAGGGCTGTATTTAATCCTTCCCCCAGGGGATGCGTCCCCCTCAATCCTTGGGTGTGGTTCACTAGGACAGAAAGCGACTTTCGCGTTTAAACATTTTTCGCTGCGGGAACCTCAGGTCCACCGCTGATCAGAGTGGACCTGAGGTTCCCGCAGCGAAAAATGTTTCGCGCTGCGAAACGCGAAAAAGTCGCTTTCTGTCCTAGTGAACCACACCCGGGGAAGCATCCCGCTGGGGCAAAGATTGAATACGGTCCCAGAATAAATAAAAATGCGCGCGGTCACAAGGCAAGCGACTGTACTTTTCTAGCAGACACGCGCCGCATTTGCTCGATCGATACCTATATTTTGCCTCTCATGCCCAGGTGGGTGCAATACAAGTGGGATGGGCACGGCGTATTTTTGATTACAGTAGGCGCGAAATGTGTGTAAGTGGGGACTGCTGCCCGCTACTATGGGGCCGTATCCTGTTCCTTTCTCTAGGAGACCCGTCCCTCGCCGCTGATTTTATCCTAAGCTCGAGGGAGACAGGGTTGCTTCATAGGACTCGCCATTGAGGCGTGACGTTGAAGCTACCCCCTTGTTGCGCACTCCATTCTCTGAGGGGTCGCGCTTTCTGGGGCCAGGTGCAGCAAGCCCCAACTAGGGGATGGGTCTCCAAAACTCCAGCGTCTCGTCACGTCATAGTAACAGGCAGCAGTCCTCACGCACACACATTCCGCTTCTACCGTATTCAAAAAACTCGGCGTGCCCATCCCACTTGTGTTCGGCACCGAAAATTCTCAAAGAGGCCGGCATTCAATCCTCTCCCAAGGGGTTGAACGACGAAAACCCCTCTATATTTATCGTGTTTCGGCGATATAGTTCTTTCATTTTCAGAGCGTGTTTACTTTGACCTGCACGCATACCCTCCCCTTCAAAAAGCGAGAAAGTGTCGGGTGCAGACCATGCACCACAAGTGACGACGGCCTTCACAAAATGTTAATGTTTTCTGCCAATGAAATGATTAGCCTGTTGCAGTTGTATTCTATCGATTGTCACTAATTACAACTATCATTTACTAGAACAGCTTCTAACCAGATTTACTTGGAGGCCGTCGTCAGTTGTGGTGTTTGGTCTGCACCGACACTTTCTCGCTTTTTGAAAGGGAGGTTATATTAAATGTAGACCCTTTATCAGGACAATCCCAGTTGGGAAGACAGAGAAAATTAAAAGGGAATTTTAACCCCTAACCCCTTGGGGAGGATTCGATCCGGCCCCAGATCTCGTGCGGTGCTAAGGTACATATTGTTCGTAGAACCTTGAAGAAAGTCGGATAATCATCAAAAAGGTCAAATACGCACTTACGCTCTTCACTCGAACCTACGAGCGTTTCAGGAGAATCGTGGAAGCGCTTTCCACTTCCGTAATTTCCGGTTTTTGCGATCGATACACATCTAATCCTTCTCGCACGCTCTATTTCACAGGTTTTTTAGTCCTGCTGAGTTGAAACCAGTTTTTATTTCTTCCCTCTCGTGAACTCTCTGATTCGGTCCAGTGCTAGGGGGATGGGCACGCAGATTTTTGAATACTGCAATCGCGAAATGTATGTACGTGGGAACTGGTGCTCACGGCAATGACGTGACGAGACGCTGTGAAGGTATCCTCTATTTCGGGAGACGAGAAGAGCTTCGGGTGCAGACCACACACCACAAGTGACGACGGCCAAGAAAAAAAGTTTTTGGGTATGTTCCAGTCAGGGGGTATCATGATGCAGCTTCTCGGCGAACTAATGTGAACTCGAACATCCCAACGTCAATTGACTGCCCTCACCCCCCCCCCCCCCTTTTCCAGAAAGCTCGGGTAACTTCGAGCAGGGGCTACACTCCCCTGGCTCGAAGTTACCCGAGCTTTCTGGAAAAACTGCATCATGATGCGGTGCTAACTTAGTTGGGGGGACCACGCGGCGGCGCGGCGCTCTGTTGGTCTGCTCCTCCAAGGCTTAG